CAGGTACTCTGATTTTTAAACACAGAACAATTACTAGTATGCTATGAATGCTTACTAGTTAATGGATATAATGGCTTAACTCTACACTTATAGATTTTTTTTTTTTGAGATATATACAAGAGTTGTTACATTCTTGTACAGCCACTAGTACGCGTAGTGTTTCGGGCAAGTCCTTAATCCTATGGTCCCTGGAATACGATCCCCTGCCGCGAAGAATCGTTTTTTCATCCAAGTACGCATTTTACTGTTGCGTTAAACAGAGGCTACAGTTAAGGAATTGCGCCCAGTAAATCCTCCCCGGCCAGGATACGAACCCATGACATAGCGCTCGCGGAACGCCAGGCGAGTGTCTTACCACTACACCACGGAGATATAAATGTTCTAGGAATTTTCCTTGTAAATATTGTCCAGGTACTCCCCCAGTTCTAGAGAGTATTCTCTGGTGATAAAGATAACTAGATAAGGTGTCCTAAGCCAAATGTTCGCTAAGGATCCGTCACTTGTTCACTCAGTTGTAAACAAACACGAAGTGCCTCGGGCTCTGTTGGTGGGCGCTTCACTCCCCCCCATCGCCCTGCCATGCTCTCTGAGCACGGTAGCCTTCTATGAATATTGATTGATTATTTTTTCAGTCTAGACTTATGATTGAAATAAGATGTGATTATAATATAATTAGATATAAGATTTAAAAATTATTAGTAGTATTTGATAACACCACTGATTCTTATTAAGGATTCGATTTTTAACCCTACCGGATGTTGAATAAATGTTCCAATAGTTTTTTAATTAACAAATCCTTCTAGAAGCTTCTGGATCCTTGAGAGATCATGTACAAAGTCACGTAGGCATCAATAGGGCCCTGTTGCGTACGTGTTCATGGTGACATTGTCATCTAGGATCAAGCTATATAATGAATCTTTAATGATTCTAATATGATTTTGATATGATTTTGATATGATATAGAAATGATATAGAAATTTTACATTAGAAGATTATTAGATATGGTGGGTAAAAATTTCCCACAGGCATGAGTAGTCCGTAGGTGGTAGAGTAGATGTAGTTGTTTGGAGTGAATGTGGTCTTTGGTCGTGTAACACCTTAAAGTGTCTCTCGACGACACCACCACACCTCAGGTGCTGTTGTCGAGATTATCCTTTGCAATTTATCTCTACAGTTGCATAGTTTCTTTCTAGACTCACAATCGGGTATCCCGGGTGTGGTTCCTGGGCCGGACAGAAAGGGTTATGCAGGATTCCTTTGACTTAATGCCTCTTTTTATCCAGGTAGGCAATAGGTACCCTGGAGTCAGGCAACTGTTGTGGGCAGCATCCTACCAGGGTCAGTAGTTCCACCTTAGCCGGACCTAGATACAGGCCCCGAGAAAACGAAGGATATAATTTCACGAAATGCTGTTGACATACACTGCTTTTACTACATCTGTTGCGAATGACAATAAATTTCTTCCTGTTAATAGCGAGGTATTTGGGTGCTACGTAGCATAAGTCTCAACACTGGATATTATAAGGTAATAGAAGTGATGTTGTTTTGTTTTTAAAGCTTTACGTCAGAGATGTTTGATTAACCTGCTTAGAGTGCGTTCTCGTCTGTGTGACCCAGTGCGTTCTTGTCTGTGTGACCCAGTGCGTTCATATCTGTGTGACCTAGTGCGTTCATGCCTTTGTGATCCAGTGCGTTCTTGTCTGTGTGACCCAGTGCGTTCATATCTGTGTGACCCAGTGCATTCATGTCTTTGTGACCCAGTGCGTTCTCGTCTGTGTGACTCAGTGCGTTCTCGTCTGTGTGACCCAGTGCGTTCTCGTCTGTGTGACTCAGTGCGTTCTCGTCTGTGTGACCCAGTGCGTTCTCGTCTGTGTGACCCAGTGCGTTCTCGTCTGTGTGACTCAGTGCGTTCTCGTCTGTGTGACCCAGTGCGTTCTTGTCTGTGTGACTCAGTGCGTTCATGTCTTTGTCAATACACTTTACACTTTATCCGTCAGTCTAAGATTTTGTTATTTGCGTGTTTACAAAATTTCATTGCAGAGAGGAAATGGATTTCAAAGTTGCTGTTTCAACCCTTCAACTGTATTCACATTCAGCTGAGAAATTTCTTCTGGTCATACATTTACTTCTGCTATTAGACAGGCTAAGATTATGTTCAACAAAGGCAGTATTTATGTCAAGCTTGGCAGTAACTATATCACGGTCTTGTAAACCAATCTTTTAAGGGATCCACAGCAAAAATTTTTCTTTCTTCATCTATCGACTTCTCTGTCATCCACCACACCCGTCACCCACACTGATCATCCACATCAGTTCTCCTCACCCACACTGATCATCCACATCAGTTCTCCTCACCCACAACTTGTTACTTCACATTGTTCAGTGAAAGTTCTGATGGGTCTCCGTGGCGTGATAGGCTTCACGTCCGATGTCATCCCTCGGATTCCCCCTCTTCACACTCGCTAATGAATCATATTTCCCTCCTCTGTCATTCCACTCCATCCTCTTCCATCATCATTCCATCCAAAGTTTTCCCTCCGACTTTGACTCCGAGGTAAAAGTCCACAGCTATTTTTTCCACCTTGTTTTTTTGGCCCCCAAAAAGTGTAATTTGTTTTCTTGGACTTCTCATCAGCGTGAAGAAGTTGACTCTCGTTGGTCGGAATCTTTGATTTTGCTTTAATCAGCGATAAGAAACCCACATTACTTGTGCAATGTTATGTTTGTTGGTTGTTCTTCGGTGGTGAGGTGAGCAGCTCATTGTGTCTGTTTACATCCTGCCTTCATGTTGACTCCTGCCACCACAGGTGTGGAGGTGACTACTGACTCCTGCCACCACAGGTGTGGAGGTGACTACTGACTCCTGCCACCACAGGTGTGGAGGTGACTACTGACTCCTGTCATCACAGGTGTGGAGGTGACTACTGACTCCTGCCACCACAGGTGTGGAGGTGACTACTGACTCCTGTCATCACAGGTGTGGAGGTGACTACTGACTCCTGCCACCACAGGTGTGGAGGTGACTACTGACTCCTGTCATCACAGGTGTGGAGGTGACTACTGACTCCTGCCACCACAGGTGTGGAGGTGACTACTGACTCCTGCCACCACAGGTGTGGAGGTGACTACTGACTCCTGCCACCACAGGTGTGGAGGTGACTACTGACTCCTGCCACCACAGGTGTGGAGGTGACTACTGACTCTATATTATGAGAAATTTCATATTCTAAAACGTAATTTAAAACTGACCACCACTGTGCCTCCCTGTGTGGTCAAGCCAGACTGTGTCAGGTGTGGTAATGTCAGCCTAATAGACCCAGGATGCCAGGTATATGAGGCTGTGAATGGAGAGTATTTTTAGTGATTAAGTCACGTGTTTTACCCTCTTGCCCTCACCCTCCCCCCCCCCCCCTCCCCGACACACCTACACATACACACCAACACATGTGTATTCGTAACTACCCAGACAAAAACTTACAAGTTAACAAAAATACCCCCTCCCTTCACCCCCCCCCCCCTTTTACAATTCACACCTTGTCATGCAAATGCATGCACAGATTGTTTGTTTGTTGTTGTTGTTGTTGTTGTTTTCGATTTAGCTACTCAGAACGAAATGTCCATGTAGCACGGGCTATGGTGAGCCCGTAATTGAGTTTGGTTATTCGCAATAACCTTCTTACTGTGATATTTGGGTCAAAGTCTTAAATGGAGGTGGGGTTTTCTCCTTTTCCCCTGTTTCTTTTTTGCTTCTGCTTTAGCGCACTGGTTTTAATCTTGTTTTAATATCTTGGTCGTGGATATAGATGCAGAATGTTCACTAGCGTGTTCCCTTCCTCAACTGTTTTTCTAATCATTGTAGTCGCGGTGGAATGTGCATGTAATGCAGCTGCTGTCGTTGGATTAATGTTGAGTTTGATGCGCAGGGCTTCAGTAGCTTCACATTCCAGTAAGTAGTGCAATAGTGGCGCCTCTGCTTCTGTTCCACAGATATGACACCCTTTTAACTATTGGGTTCATTACCTCCCAGCAGCACTTGTAACCAAGTCTGAGTCTGTGTATGGCTACTGCAATGTCTCTGGATATCTTTTTGCCAGGCTTGAAAGAGTATTACCCAGTGGCTTGTTCGTACCATATCGCAGTGAATCTTCCTTCCGCTACTTTGGCTCTGTGGCGACTTTTGATAGTTGGGAATATTTTCTTCATGATTTGCTTCTTAATCTGTGAAAAACTTGGAGGTATTTGAACCTGTACAACAGGTAGAGCAGTGGCAGTTTTTGCTAGTCTGCCTTTTCATTACCTTTTATGCCAATGTGACTTGGTATCCAATTTAGGGTGATTGACAGACCTAGCTTGTGTGTTTTTTTCCTATATGTAGGATTTCTGTGATGAGTTGTATATTATCTCTGTGCTGGCTGGATAAAAACCCATGCACACACACACACACACACACACACACGCTACCAGGCTAGGGGCCTGGTAGCCTGGTGGAAAGCGCCCAGGACTCGTAATTCTGTGGCGCTGGTTCGATTCCCGCACAAGGCAGAAACAAATGGGTAAAGTTTCTTTCACCCTGAATGCCCCTGTTACCTAGCAGTAAATAGGTATCTGGGAGTTAGTCAGCTGTCACGGGCTGCTTCCTTGGGTGTGTGGTGTGGAAAAAAAGTTGTTAGTAAACAGTTGATTGACAGTTGAGAGGCGGGCCGAAAGAGCAAAGGTCAACCTCCCGCAAACACAACTAAGTGAATGCACACACACACACACACACACACACACACACACACACACACACACACACACACACACACACACACACACACACACACACACATACAGCTTCACATATACACAAATTAACACAACCACGCCATCAACAACAATAAAAGCGTTGTTTTACCTTTTCTAAATTGCAGGTATTTTCCCTCACTCACGTTTTTCCTCTAAAATTGTTTACAGTTCAAAGTGATACAAAAATATTTATAGGAGTGCGACCGACAACTATTTTAAAATAACTCCACGTGCCCGGAGCCTGGCCCAGCCACGTGTCCGGAGCCTGGCCCAGCCACGTGTCCAGAGCCTGGCCCAGCCACGTGTCCGGAGCCTGGCCCAGCCACGTGTCCGGAGCCTGGCCCAGCCACGTGTCCAGAGCCTGGCCCAGCCACGTGTCCAGAGCCTGGCCCAGCCACGTGTCCGGAGCCTGGCCCAGCCACGTGTCCGGAGCCTGGCCCAGCCACGTGTCCGAAGCCTGGCCCAGCCACGTGTCCAGAGCCTGGCCCAGCCACGTGTCCAGAGCCTGGCCCAGCCACGTGTCCGGTGCCTGGCCCAGCCACGTGTCCGGAGCCTGGCCCAGCCACGTGTCCGGAGCCTGGCCCAGCCACGTGTCCAGAGCCTGGCCCAGCCACGTGTCCGGAGCCTGGCCCAGCCACGTGTCCGGAGCCTGGCCCAGCCACGTGTCCGGAGCCTGGCCCAGCCACGTGTCCGGTGCCTGGCTTAGCCACGTGTCCGGAGCCTGGCCCAGCCACGTGTCCGGAGCCTGGCCCAGCCACGTGTCCAGAGCCTGGCCCAGCCACGTGTCCGGAGCCTGGCCCAGCCACGTGTCCAGAGCCTGGCCCAGCCACGTGTCCAGAGCCTGGCCCAGCCACGTGTCCGGAGCCTGGCCCAGCCACGTGTCCAGAGCCTGGCCCAGCCACGTGTCCAGAGCCTGGCCCAGCCACGTGTCCAGAGCCTGGCCCAGCCACGTGTCCGGAGCCTGGCACTAACAAACTAGACATTTTCTTAAGACCTCACTTTCATAAAATCCAAAGTAAACATTGCCAATAGAAGTTCTTGTTGAGAGGTTAGTTGTCACCCCAACACGAGGAGGTGTTGGTGGGGTTGTGAGGCTCTTGAGATCAACAACTCTCAAGAGCTATTTATCATGTGGGAGCCAGAGGTCTCCACCTCCACCCGGGACTCACAGGAGAATGTCTGAGATTTATGTGATGAGTTTGTCTTCGTCTTCAAGCCTTTGTTCTTGCTTATTGTAACAGGAATTTAGGTTTGTTTTATATATATATATATATATATATATATATATATATATATATATATATATATATATATATATATATATATATAGGAACACAAATTGTGTTCCTCACGTGTGCCCCAAAGAATGAGGTGATTTGATAAAATGCTATGCCCAAGATTACTATCCGAGTTCCGGCGGTGGGGTGGTTCAAATAGCCTCAGCTATCACCTCATTATGTCCGGTCATGATGGTCAAGTGGATTAAGGAGTCTTGTACATACCAGTTGCGTTGCTCCTGGGAGTATGGGTTCGAGTCACTTCTGGGGTGTGAGTTTTCAGTTGCATATTGTCCTGGGGACCATTCAGGCTTGTTCGCATATATATATATATATATATATATATATATATATATATATATATATATATATATATATATATATATATATATATATATATATATATATACTCTTTGTACAGTTTTATTTCGTCCAAACGTTCAGAAATCCGTTTCGCTGATTCGGTCCATATTTTCAAGGACAGAGTATTAGTAAATATAATTTACAATTTAGCTTGTGCTCCGGAATATGACCGAGTGAGAGGTGAAGGAAACCGTCTCTAAGGGCAATAGGCCCACTGCACCCATCACCAAATGCTGCATTAATGGATGGGGTCTTAGGCCTCAGCCTCTTCCCTGGTCTTGAAGATCTTTATGGATGACAAAGTTAAGCTCATGAATTACAAACATTCAATATGAAGAGAGATTAAATAAGCTTAATTTACATATCTGGAAAACGAGGAGCAAGAACTGACATGATGGAATTATGCAAATGTTTGAAAGTGAATAATAAAAAGGATATAAATAAGCATTTAAACTAAACATCTGAAGTAAAGACTTGGGTAAATGCTGAATTAAAAGGATTGTAGATTTGTGGAACAAATTGGCGGGCAATATAATAGGCGCAGGGGCCTTGGGTTGTTTTAAGTGTAGGCTAGACGTGTATGAATGAGTTTCCTAGACGTGTATGAATGAGTTTCCTAGACGTGAATGAATGAGTTTCCTAGACGTGTATGGATTAGTTTCCTAGACGTGTATGAATGAGTTTCCTAGACGTGTATGAATCAGTTTCCAAGACGTGTATGAATCAGTTTCCTAGACGTGAAATGAAAGAGTTTCCTAGAAGTGTATGAATCAGTTTCCGTGGACATAAATAGGAACTGTCTCGTATGGACCAATAGACCTTCAATAGATTTCTGTATTCATTTAATTTTATCTTTTTAAGATTACACAAACATATTCGATTTTACTATTTTAAAATCACGGAGAAATGAACAATACAAATTATACATTTCAATGTTTCCACGTGAGAGGGAACGATTATATTTTTATTCCATGTTCATTGGAGTTCCAAAACTTATATAGTTTAGCCTATTATGTCCCATAACAAACCTCACATGCATTCATGGACAATAAAATAACAAATTATTGTGATTAAATACAACCATTCATTTGTAATATCGTCGCTAAAGCTGCGCTTAATTTGTAATAGAGGAGTAATGAGTCTTTGTGTGGGACACAATGGATTCGATTAGTGGAATGTGTAGATTGGGTAATTAGCTGGCCTGCGAGGTACAACGGCCCTGTGTACTGAAATGCGAGATCCTAATATTGTTTGGTGTTCTAACTCTATGATAACGATGATAAACATATTGGAATATTGACTTAAAATATACAAATAATTGTGCATAGAACTTAAAAAAAGAACACGTAACAAATCATCAGTGACACCATTTTTGCTACGGAGGAAAGGCTATGTGAGATATTTTTTTTAAATTACAATACTACCAATGGTTTAATTGAAAAAAAAAAGTATTCATGTAGTCTGACGGTTTCAAAACCTTGCTCATATCTATGCTGTATTATGCTGTATTATGCTGTATTATGCTGTATTATGCTGTATTATGCTGTATTATGCTGTATTATGGTGTATTATGCTGTATTATGCTGTATTATGCTGTATTATGCTGTATTATGCTGTATTATGCTGTATTGATTCATAACGACACAAGAACATACAAATTATGGAGCACTGAGTAAGCTTGTTGTCCCATGCTTGCCGAGTTTCATTTTGGTCCCTCCCCGCCAAACACACACCGAAACTACGACGTTGCTACAACGTTCGAACAAGATTTAATACCTCCTAACCAGTTATAAGAACCAATATAGCAAGTTTTAACAACGTTCTAATACGTCAAAAACACGTTAAGCCAAGATGTATCAACTTTATTACAAGTTGTAACAAGCGGAAAATAGGGTCAGTTACGGTTTGTGTTTCCAGGGTACTCGACAGTTAATCTATTAAATCTGTTTTTTTAACTTGTAAATCTATTTTTCTTCAAGAGTCAGCTGGTTGCATATATTCCTCTCATCTCTAATCATGTTCCCAAACCACTTCTTCCGTATATTCCTCATAAAACGCAATTTCTCTAATTTGTAGATTTTTTTTTCATTTTTGTCAGTTTTGAACAGCTCCCAAGTTAAAATTTTGATCATGTTCTCCATTGTCAAGCTTCAGTCTAGCAGAGTGAAAAGTATCTTTATTTTCACCGACACTTCACTCTGTCTTGATAAGAAAAGCCCTGATACCTAACATCAGCCTTGTTATCCTAACCTGTATTTCTTCTTCAAATTTATGTACATCGTGTAGAAGGGCGGCCAGAACCGCTCGAGGAGCACCTCACAGGTCTTGGAAACGGCTGAGAGACGATATTCGTGCGGCTGATACTGACTTTCTTGTATAATTCCCAAAAAAGTCATCACCACGGACACACTTCAAGCTGAACTACTTGCAGAAGCAGGGAAAAAACGAGGAACATATTCATCTACAATCTTAACCCCACGACTCAAAGAAGCAGCGAAACAACTAAAAAATCTGAAAGACGTAACAATAAGAAAAGCCGACAAAACAGCAGCATATGTATTGATTCCTACCCATGAATACATGAACAAAATTAGCGACATCCTAAGTGACGACTCCAAATTTCAACGAATCACGAGGAACCCCGTAGAAGACCTTAAGCGGAAAGTAAACAAAACAATTACAGCAATCAACGCAAAGAAAGGTAGTGTGCATTTCAATAAACTTCAAGGCGACTATGGCTTAGGATATGCCTACGGCAATGTTAAAACGCATAAACCAGGTAACCCACTACGCCCTATAATCAGCCAAATACCAACCCCATCTTATCACCTGGCAAAGAAACTCAATGAACTCCTAACTCCATACACTCCAAGTAAGTTTAGTCTACAATCATCAGCAGATTTCCTAGAATTGATCAAATCTACCCAGCCCGATGGAATCATCGCATCCCTGGACGTTGAATCCCTTTTTACCAACGTCCCAGTCGACACAACCATAGGAATGATACTGGACAGAGTATACAGAGACGAGAGCACCCCCAAATTAGACATACCTGAGCCACACTTGAAAAGTCTTCTCGAAGCATGTACAAAGGAAGCCCCTTTCATCAGTCCACAAGGAGACATGTATTTACAAATAGACGGAGTAGCAATGGGCTCCCCCTTAGGAGTTTTATTTGCTAATTTTTATATGGGAACCATCGAAGATAGGGTCTTCAGTAGCAGACAAAAACCAACAGTATACTGCCGTTATGTAGATGACATATTCGTAATAGTAAAAGACTCAGATGAACTAATTGACCTAAAAAGACACCTAGAGAGAGAGTCAGTACTCCGATTTACACACGAAAATAGTGAAAATAACAGTCTGCCATTCTTGGATGTACTAATAACAAAAACAGGAACCTCTTTAAGCACCAACGTATATACCAAGCCCACCAACATAGGATTATGCCTGAACGGTAGAAGTGAGTGCCCCCAAAGATACAAAGCCAGTGTTCTCAATGCTTATATTCGTCGAGCGCTTACCCACTGCTCTGAATGGAGCAACGTGAGTAGAGAGTTTGAAAGAGTAACTCAGGTATTGGTGAACAACGGATATATCAACGCGGAAATAAACGCTGCTATAAGAAGACACTTGGACCGTTGGTATAATTCAGAACCTAGAACAGAAACCACAACACCCCCAATAAAATTATATTACAAATCAACCATGCACAGTGAACATATAAAAGAGGAAAGAATAATGAAAGAAATAATTCGTAAAGGAGTAAAAAGCACTACTCCTAACCAAAACATAAACCTGATAATGTTCTACAAAACCAAGAAGACTTCCGAACTCCTTATCAAAAACAGCCCGAAGCCGACGGAGAACCCTCTACAGCAGTCAAGCGTTGTATACATGTACACTTGCCCCCACGAAGGATGTAACCTTCAATGTAAGTACATAGGTATGACGTCGACCAAGCTGACGAGGCGTTTGACATGCCATCTTCAATCTGGTGCCCCTAGGAATCACATGAGACAAGCCCATGACATTACTCTAACAAGAGAAATGTTGAACAAGAATACTTGCATAATAGACAAAACCCAAGATTCAAGAAGATTACAAATTCTTGAGGCAATTCACATAAGAATAGAGCGACCTACCATGAACACCCAAATCACGGAACTATTTACTCTACCCACCATGAGAGTAAGGACAAGACAAGAACATATCGATGCCAACACAGAAGACAATGTCCAACATAACAGGCCAATTACACTGGATTAATCTTTGTGTTTAGATAGGAGATGCCTCGTATGGGCCAATAAGCCTTCTGCAGCCCCTATGTTTATCCCTTA